ATAACAAGATACATATTCTATAGGTTCTCACACTCTCTCTTTTTTCTTTAAAAGTAAAAAAAATTTTCTTTTTCCAAAACCGTGGTTTTAGAGCCAAAACCATGGTTTTGGCCCAAAACCACGATTTGTACAAATTGGGTAAGTGTTTGGGTGACTTATCACCCAAACCATGGTTTGGGGTGTCATCCAAACGGTGCCTTAATGTATTTATTAACATATAAGAATGAGTAAGAAGTAACTTTGAAAAATCATAAAAAAACTTTGAACATAGAAAAATCATAAATGGGAACCTGTTACAATATTAGTATTGGTTTTGACAATAATTAATAAGTAAATGACAACAATTTTTGTAAACAGGTTTCTGTATGCAATTTTTCTATTTTTAAATTTTTTTTTTACAATCTTCCCAATAATTTACCTGTATAAATGCAATCACCCTATTCAAATTAATTTTGAAATATTTTACAGTAATAAAAATTTAGGCCAAAGATTAAACGGTGATTTGTTTCAGAAATAAATAAGTATTTTATTTAGATCAATTTATTTTAAGTGATTTTATATTATTTAAAATAAATATTTAAAAAATTGTTTTTTTGCCAGAGACCAGCGTGAAGGAAATTTTATTTCCTAAGACACGAAAAAGGTTAATTTTAATTTTAAAAAATTCTCTATTGTAGAAATAAAAAAATTAATTATAAACTAGTTGTCAATAACATATTTTTATGAATTTTCAAACTAGTAATTGTAATTTTATAAGAATTCTTATAAATACCAAAAAACAATTAGTTCTAAATAAGGTATACCTTACGTAAAGTTTGTGAATTATGAAAGCTTACAATTGAATTTTTTATATTACACTTGAGGTTAATATTCAAATTTTCATAATTGAAAATGTTTTTTTCCTAAATATGCATCTCTACTCTAAAAACGTAGCCGGATAGTGGGGATTGTTATATCAACAGACTGATTCATAACTGCAGAATGAGTGTCAACATGATAATAGTAAGAAAATGAATTACACTAAAGGGTATAAATGAAATTTTACTGGTAGAACGATATTTAGATAATGGTAAACGTTTGATATTTAAATGCCTTAATTTAGAAATAACACTCCCAGTATTTGATTTCATATTTATAGTTGACTATCAGACAAAAACTTTTAAGATTTAACCGTTATCGGATTAATTTTTGTATGATTTAACTATTTAAGTTTCATTTTTGGCCCCAAAAAAAAAACTATTTAAGTTTCATTATTGTATTTTTATTACATAATTTTTATATACTACCTCCAGTCCTTAATATAAGAGCTAGTTGACTAATTTGAGTAGATTAAAAAAATTAGTTAAATTAGTTATTTATAATGAATATGTATTGTCTTTCCTAAAATATTTTTGCTAATTAAGTGTATTGGTTAGAATTATCATTATTATAAGAACTACTTGAAAAAAAATAAACAAATATGAAAAACAAAATAGATTCAAATTTTATATTTAAGACTCAAATAAAAATTAAATAAACTCTTAATATAAGAAATTAAAGGTAATATCTTATATGCTCATATCAATTACTCCCTCCATTCTTTATTATAAGAGACAAATAACTAAATTACGTTGATAAAAAAAACAGTTAAAATTAGTTGAGGACAATTAATATGTAAAAAGTATAATATTTTTTCCAACAATGCCCCCATTAATAAGAAGAGAGAGTATGAGAGAGAACAATTAAATTATTAAAAGAAAGAGAAGTGGGAGGGAGAGAGAGTATGGGTTAGAGACAAAATAAATAGGGGTAAATAGAAAATCAATACAAAAAAATAGAGACAACTTTTAAGTGTCTCTTATATATGGAAACATGCCATAAGCATCAAATGTCTTTTATAATAAGTAACGGAAGGAGTATTATTTATCAATACATGTCAGTCAATTAATATATCAACAATAAGTTCAAAATGCCTGTGAATATATAATAATTGTACCTGTATTAGTACTTTCTACTAGACTTTTATCTAACACCCTTGAAGTATTTTATGATATATCAAATATTTTAAAATATTTTTTAAGTGCCTCAAACATTTTGAAAGATTTTTGGAAAAAAAACAGAAAAATGTACCTTTAACTTCAGAAGCCCAAAAACGTTCGCTGAATTCAAGAAATCCCATTTTGGTACCATGAGACCAAATTGGGATTATTATGTGAAAGGAAAAGACCAAATTGCCCTTCATTTTAAATATTATTTTTAAAATATCACAGCCCCTATTGGCCGGCCGGTCACTGGAGCTCCGGCGACCAGCCGACAATTGGTCACCGGACCTCCATCGGTCAGAATTTTTTTTTTTTGAAAATTTTTACAACTTCAATATAACAGTTAACAACTTTTGTAATGCTATTAACAATTTCAGTATAACAATTAATAACAACTTTTCTGGGAAATTCAACAAATTCCGGCGACTGGAAACAATTTTTTTAAAATTTTTTACAACTTCAATATAAGCGTTAACAACTTTTGTAATGCTATTAACAACTTCAATATAGCAATTAACAACAGGTTTTCTGGGAAATTCAATAAACTTCGGCGACTGGAAACAATTTTTTTGAAAATTTTTACAACTTCAATATAACGGTTAACAACTTTTGTACTGCTATTAACAACTTCAGTATAGCAATTAACAACAGCTTTTCTAGGAAATTCAACAGACTCCGGCGACCGGAAACAATTTTTTTGAAAATTTTTACAACTTCAATATAACAGTTAATAACTTTTGTAACCCTATTAACAACTTCAGTATAGCGGTTAACAACAGGTTTTTGAGTTTGTTAAAGGCATTACTGAAGTTATAAAAAAGTCACTTTTTGAATTCTTCGAAAAACTTGTTGTTAACTGCTATATCAAAGTTGTTAACCGTTATATTGGAGTTGTAAAAATTTTCAAAAAACCATAATTGTTAACGTTATACTGAAGTTGAAAATTTTTACAACTTCAATATAACGGTTAACAACTTTTATAATGCTATTAACAACAAGTTTTCTAGGAAATTCAACAAACTCCGGCGACCGGAAATAATTTTTTTGAAAATTTTTACAACTTAAATATAGCGGTTAACAACTTTTGTAACCCTATTAAGAAATTCAGTATAGCGGTTAACAACAGGTTTTTGAGTTTGTTAAAGGCATTACTGAAATTATAAAAATGCCACTTTTTGAATTTAAAAACTTGTTGTTAACTGCTATATCAAAGTTGTTAACCGTTATATTGGAGTTGTAAAAATTTTCAAAAAAACGTAATTGTTAACGTTATACTGAAGTTGAAAATTTTTACAACTTTAGTATAACGGTTAACAACTTTTATAATTCTGTTAACAACTTCAATATAGCAATTAACAACAAGTTTTCTGGGAAATTCAACAAGCTCTGGTGACTGGAAATAATTTTTTTTTGAAAATTTTTACAACTTGAGTATAACTGTTAACAACTTTTGTAATGCTATTAACAACTTTAGTATATTAGTTAACAACAGATTTTTTTGAAAAATTATATAACTCAAAAACCTGTTGTTAACCGCTATACTGAAGTTGTTAATAGGGTTACAAAAGTTGTTAACCGTTATGCTGAAATTGTAAAAATTTTCAAAAAAAAATGTTTCCGGTCGCCGGAGTTTGTTGAATTTCCCAGAAAAGCTATTGGTAATTGCTATACTGAAGTTGTTAATAGCATTACAAAAGTTGTTAACCGTTATATTGAATTTGTAAAAATTTTCAAAAAAATTGTTTCCGGTCGCCGGAGTTTGTTGAATTTCCCAGAAAACCTGTTGTTAATTGCTATATTGAAGTTGTTAATGGCGTTACAAAAGTTGTTAATGGTTATATTGAAGTTGTAAAAATTTTCAAAAAAATTGTTTCCAGTCGCCGGAGTTTGTTGAATTTCCCAGAAAAGCTGTTGTTAATTGCTATACTAAAGTTGTTACTAGCATTACAAAAGTTGTTAACCGTTATATTGAAGTTGTAAAATTTTCAAAAAAATTGTTTCCGGTCGCCAGAGTTTGTTGAATTTCCCAGAAAACCTGTTGTTAATTGCTATATTGAAGTTGTTAATGGCGTTACAAAAGTTATTAACGGTTATATTGAAGTTGTAAAAATTTTCAAAAAAATTGTTTCCGGTCGCCGGAGTTTGTTGAATTTCCCAAAAAAGCTGTTGTTAATTACTATACTGAAGTTGTTAATAGCATTACAAAAGTTGTTAACCGTTATATTGAAGTTGTAAAAATTTTCAAAAAAAAAAATTCCGACCGACGGAGCTCCGGTGACCAATTGTCGGCTAGTCGCCGGAGCTCCGGTGACCGCTGTCGCCGGAAGTCTGGTGACCAGCCGACCAATAGAGGCTGTGATATTTTAAAAATAATATTTAAAATGAAGGGCAATTTGGTCTTTTCCTTTCACATAATAATCTCAATTTGGTCTCATGGTACCAAAATGGGATTTCTTGAATTCAACGGACGTTTTTGGGCTTCTGAAGTTAAAGGTGCATTTTTCTGTCTTTTTCCCAAGATTTTTCTTGTCTTGATACTAGCTACACCAAAAAATATTTTTAAGTACTGAATATACAAAAAAAACTTAATAGTTACTAAATACATAAGAAAATATTTTAATTTTTGAGATACTAAATACACTTAAAAAAATACTTGAAACTATTAAATTTATTACAAAATATTTTAAAATATTAGATACAGTGAAAAGAATATTTTAAGGTGTTACGTGTAACTTAACTCTAAACTTTAAAACCTATTCGTTTTTTGTGAATTTTTTCACTTGGTCACTGCTTCTTTTTTTTTTTTTTTTTTTAACCATCACTGCTTCCCCATAAAACGTTGTCTTTTTTTTTACCAAAAAAAAAATCTATCCTCCGGCTTCTTGCACATTCTCTCTCTTCCGATTGGGGGCTTCTGCGTTTTGTACTGAAAAGCGCACTCACAAGCCTAACAGGTACCAAATACCAACAAGACCGAGGCACTATCCTCGGCTCACTTCCCTCGTCTTAATAAGGAAAGAAATCTTCCAGCGACATCTCTGATCTCTCTCCCTTCAAAATCCGACCTTTATTAAATTCGTCCTTATCCGCTTCTTCCATTTCCTTTCATCGAAATTTCTTTGCCTCTGTCTCCTTTTGGATCTCCCCAACACGCTCCTTCCGTAACTAGGGTTTCTCCTGGGGCTCTTTGCTAAATTTAGCTAAATGCCTGCTGATTTTCCTCAGCGTGTGTCCCTCTCCTATTAGGCCCGTCCTCTTGCTTTTGTTTCCCTCAAAGATACCCAAAAGCTGCTTATATAGGCAGTCCTTCCTCCAAACTTTGCATTTGTTTTCTGCCGATTTTCTCTTGTCTTTTTAGGTGGGCTTCTTCCGTTTTGGTTGGTTTATTAATTCTGTGTCTCGTATCTCCGTTGATAAAACTATTTTTTCGGTTTTTCCTTCCTGGTTGAAGTTTTGCTAGTACGAATAAGGTGAATCTAATGGCGAGGGAGAAGATTCAGATTAAGAAAATCAACAACGCTACAGCGAGGCAAGTGACATTCTCCAAGCGACGCAGAGGCCTCTTCAAAAAGGCTGAGGAGCTTTCTGTCCTCTGTGATGCGGATGTTGGCCTCATAGTCTTCTCCTCAACTGGGAAGCTCTTTGAGTACTTCAGCACAAGGTCTCTCTCTCTCTCTCTATCTCCGCCCCTCCCTCTCTTTCTCCCAAAGTATGTCTCGAGTTGATGGGTTTCATTGCTTGGCTATTTGCATCACCGTTAGTATGTCTTGCTAATGTCGCAAGTGTTCAGAATAACCATAAAATAAACCTATATGAACATAGAAGCAGTATAGCCATTGCCATTCTTAACTGGAAAAAAAACTAGAAGTGCGCTGATGTTAAAACGTTGACGGGGAAGATGATGAATACTATTATATCGTGAAACTCAGACTTTTCATTTAATTTGTTTGGCAATTAAAACGAAAAGAGATGTGCCGAAGCTACAAACAATATGGCAGCTGGCAAATCTGATAGTGGTGAACTCTTGAAGAAATGCTGATATGAAAAGCTAATGTAAGATGGCAGGTCTACGAAGGTTGTAAAATATTTATGTAATAATGCTTCTGAAACGTCTCGGTGCAACTATTTATTAGACGGCAATACTAGTTTCCGTCTTGTATGTTTTCAGCTTTTTTCTGATTCATTGTGTCGTACTCTTTCCTGCTTGATTATTTGATGTTTTTCACATACGTGATGGTCGCGGCTGGATGAAGAAAATGACGATAATACGTGAGCATGAGAATACATATTCGCAAACAGCCAACTAGAACTTGACGGACAATATTCATAGGATGTAGATAGCAAGGAAGCAACCTAACTTAAATAACTTGTTAAAGAAACTTAACTGCGATTAGGTTCATTATGATATTTGAAGGATGGGGAACTTTGATTACTTAGTTGAGAGACATATTCCCGTGTTTCTTGTTTGATACATTTAGAAGGTACACTATGATGCTTTGCTTTCATTTAAATCTGCCTTCATTGGTATGTTCGCTGGCAAAAAATAATTAGAGGTGGTCGTGCTAAAGCAGCTATAGCTCAGCCATCTGCAATAATAATTCTCAACTTGGTTACCTTTATTCCTTCTCTTCTTTTTTCCTTCTTGTTTGTGGTCCTTAGAGAATATGTATGGCTCATTTGCTGTGGATAACTGTTGCCAACATTTTTATCAAGTGCTTATTAGAATCCTAAAAGCCACTCAGAGGGAAGATTTTCTGACTGAAACATTGAAAAATGTGATTATAAATATAGTGGGAGCACTCGGTGCGCAGTACCCTTATAGTTAGGCATGTGTTATGCATTATCAGCATATATCAAGTCTGCAGAAGAAGCATTTCACCGCCATTTTTTAATCTTAATTATTTTAATGCATCTCAGTGGAGGTTTGAATCTGCACCCACAAACTATCTTCAGACCTTACGAACAGATCTGACTTGATTAGATGGCTAGCACTATTCACAACTTCCAAAAATTCATGATCTTAACCATAGCTTAATGCATTTGAATGAACTAGCTGCGCTAGTCTCTTAAAGATAGCCTTCCATAATGCCAAACCTTGAGACCCAAGTGCTAGAAATACAGCTATGATTATGTCTTATTTGGATCTGAGGCATAGATGATTATTCCTCAAAAAGATTGCCTCGAGTTTGTCATTATGTTATGTAACCCTATTATTAATTATTCCTATGACTCTAATATATTTTTTGTCTATTCATATTCATTTTGCCTTTTGTGTTCCGCTTGGTTTACCATCATTTTGCACCAAATACGTCCTTGCCTTGTAAGTGATTGTGCTTGAGTACTCCCGGAATTTCTCGCTGCCTCAGCTTACTTTTATGTTCTTGACCAGCAATCAAGTGTGAAATTTTCATAATAACTTCTTGAAGCCGCCTGAGTAATTTACGGCTGACATTAAGCGGTAAGTCTACCAAAAAATATGTCCCCCCCCCCCCCGGGGATGGGGCAATAAATGAAGGGAATATAATTTGGAAGCTGAATTCAGCGGAATGCGAGGAGGGGAGAAGAATGGGACAATATGGGCATTGTGTCACAAATGTCAAAACGAATCTCATGGCATTAGTTCAATGTCGAAATAGAATGCAAGTGACAGTAATAATACATATCAAAGAGAGGTCCAATTTAGTGGTGGAGGGATGAAATTATTACATCATAATAATTATGCAAACCGTGAGTAATTCTAAATGGAAAGCATGAATTTTGATGTTCGTTGTCCATTTTTGGTTTTTGCGGTATAAATGTAAAGCTATATATTTCCGTCATATGTTAAGGCAGCTTAGAGTAGTAAACGTGCATCTAGAATTTGTCTTCTCACATGGGTGAATTCCAGAATGTGACTATGATTCTCTGTCTGTCTTTTGAAGCAAAAAGGAACTACTCGGCAAATATCATCTGCAGTCGAAGAACTTAACAAAACCAGGACCACCGTCTCTTGAATTCCAGGTCCGTTTTCTGTACTCTGCTATACATGTTTTACGCGAGCATAATATGATAGAAATTCGGGTTTGTGGAAAACTGCAACTCGTTCTAATGGAGGCGTCCCGATTGCATTCCTTTTTACGTTATTTATGACATATAATTGAAGTTGTTTGGGTCCTTCATCGATTGCCCCTTTCATGTTCATTGACAACCCTCAGCTGTGAGTTTCCTGCGTTCAATTCAAACTATATGGCTGAACCAAATACTGAAATATTTCTGAAATTCCTGTTAGTTGTATTCGTTTCCTTATAGACTATTTTTGCCTGATATTTTTTGCCGAACCAAATGCTACTTAATATTATTAATTATTATTTATCTCTTTTGGTATATAGTTGAGATTATCTCAATGAAGTGGTGAATTCGACACAATGGGAGAGAATTCCGCCCTCAGTTATCTGTGGGAAAAATATGAACCTTGTGGTTGTCATAAGTACTGGCGATGAAAATTGAAAAATGAAAAGATGGAAAAATGAGAATCTGGGAAATTTCTAGGAACCAAACCCTTATTATATAAACTCTTGTTCTAGAAGGGCTTTTGATTTATGATCCTCTTTAACTTGTCTACTTAAAGTCTCTAATGTTTTGCAGCTAGTTGAGAACAGTAATTACACCAGCTTGAGCAAGGAAGTTGCTGAGAAGAGCCGTCAACTTAGGTGTATCCTCTCAATTCCTTCAAGTAGTTTTTTTTTTTTGTCATGGTAATTGGAGTTAACATGTAACTTGAACCGTGTAGACAGATGAGAGGAGAAGATCTGCAAGGTTTGAACATCCGGGAATTGCAGCAACTAGAGAGGTCTCTCGAGTCCGGATTGGGCCGTGTAATAGAAAAGAAGGTCTTTTACTTCATCCTGCGTTGTCCTCCTTAAATCATTGCCTTGATTGCTGGTCATACTCGATTTAAGCTAAGTCTTAAATGATTAATCTCAGGAAGAGAAGATAATGACTGAGATCAGTGATCTCAAGAGAAAGGTTAGTATCGGTGATTTCATTTTATATGAAGTCTGTTATTGGTACTTCTTTGGTCCTTGTCTTGTTTTTTTGTAATTTAACCGTGAAACTCAGGGAATGGAGCTGATGGAAGAGAATGAGCTGTTAAAGCGTCAAGTATGGAATCCTTCTCTGGTTACTCCTCATTTTTTGCTTATGGAGAGACTTCTGCTAGAGTTTCTCGTTATCTTCTGCCGTTAAATCTTTTATCTGCGATTTCTAACAAAAATACCTGTGTGGACCCTAGGTGGAGCAATTATCTGATGGTAACAGGCTAGGTGGGGCCGAGTCTGACATCGTCAATAATGAGGAAGGCCAGTCATCAGAATCTATCACTGTCACATGCAACTCCTCGGGACCCCCTCAAGACTGCGACAGCTCAGACACATCGCTCAAGCTGGGGTAAGTCCACTCCTGCAAAATTTCTGAGAAATCATTAACTACATAATAGGACTGCAAAGAACTACTAATTAGGTTCATTAGTGTTTAAGATCTTGGGATTTGTCAAGATTTTACTAGATGGGGTTAATGCTATTTTTATTGCTGAAATTTAACTAGGTTTTGGTCTCGATTCTTAAAACTTGAAACGAGTAGTTTTGGTTATTGAAATTTTGTTTTAGGAATAAAAAATCTTTAGGCCGACGGGAATGATGTCAAATTTCAAGGATCAAAATGTTTGAGAACTAAATATGATATTAATCTTTTTTATTATTAACCTAATAATCTATCATCATTTCATTCCTGACTGGGCCTATGTTGGTGTGTTCACTAGTAAATTCTGTAAGAATTTATCATTTGTCCGCAATCCTGAAGACTTTGTTGGTTATAAACGGTTTTTCAAATTGAGAGCCATTTTATAACTTGAGCTTAGCACTTAACAATAAACTGCTATAATCAATTACTTTGCAGGTTACCATATGCTGGCTGAAGGTATTGCGCAAGATATCCTCATAAACCAAGAGAAACGAAGACTAAGGTATACATTACGAAAACCGAGGAGTTGTACTAGAAGTCCAGTACCTCAACTCCTCAAGATCTGTTAATATCAGTCGGAAGTTCAAGAAAGAAAAGGAACTAATATCACCGTACCACTTTCTCTTTTATTCTGTGATTATGACCCAAAATATTTGAAAAGGGTTTGGGAAACAAGAGATCTTCATCACATATTCCTCTGAAGATGCTTGTTACGTGATATTCCCAATGTGTAGATAGAAAAAGTACGTACAATGAGTATAATCATGGCGACTACGGACGAAATATTATCAAGATTAATCACCTTTTGATGCCAATAACCAATGTATCATTAGCCGGCAGCCATATTAATCAGGGAAAATTACCACACAAAAAAAGGAGACTGAAAATTGGCGAGATGTTAGAATAAAAATTTTAATAAAAATTTGTTGTCATTTGTAAATTATCTTGACAAATTAATGTGTTGTTACGATTCTTGATATGAGATTTTATAGTTTTCATGGCTTTATTTGTAATTTTTTTTCTATTGGTAAACGCAAACTTCAACCTTTTTATTACCGATGAACACGGGCATTCGTAGGATTTCAGCTAATTAGATTCACATCTAATGTGTTTTCCCAGTTTATTCAATAAATGTCATCGGAAGTGATAAAAACTTCATATTCGTACTAGTTAAATGGAATTCTCGTCAGGCCCGGAATTGGTCGCCTATCTTCATGTTCATTGACATTGTCAATCCGTTCTGTGGAACGTTCGGCGGTAACGAAGATTGAACAGCAAAAATAAGATGTGGAAAGTAAAACCCGCTTGTTTCTAGCTTCCTAGAGTTTCCTGCTCTGGGATAAGATTGCTGATCACCCAATCTGGAAGGGGCGTGGTGAAGAACTGAGAGTGGCTTCGTGTGGTCGGAGAGAAGCCGACGAGATGAAGCAAGGGGACATGTTCAATGTGTAATTATTGTGTGCTAGTATTGCAGACCTTGCGGGTGTCGTCCATATGGATAAATTTGCATTGTAAATTCTTGGGCATTTCATTTATGTTCCTCTATTAATTGCTCTATAAGATGAAGAAACAGTAAAGGAGTCATGATTTGTATAATTGTATCAGCTGCTGAAAAAGCTTCAGATTGAAAGTGATGAAAGAGGTCTCATTCCCACGGGCCAGACTCGCCTGAAGGAGCAAGGGAGTTCATTTTCTTCAACTTCGAGGTCCAGGTTCATCAATCCAGTGATCTAACTTTTGTCCCATATGATGCCACCGTTGCTTTCCTGCCAAGCATGAGAGCTTGTTCTTTTTTTTTTTTTTTTGCCCCCAGGCACAATTATGCTCGAGATATTGTCAAGAGGTTTGAAAACTTGCTTTGAAAACATAATTAGTATCTTTGGACCACTTATACTTAGCCCGTAATACTGGATTTAAAGCTGGGGTAGCTAGCAAAGCTTAATTCTGACTTTCTAAATTTCAGATTCCACATACTTCATTCAAAAGTACTACCTCCAGTTTTGATTATAAGAGCTAGTTGATTAATTTGAGTAGATTAAGGAAGTAAGTTAAGTTAGTTATTTGTAATAAATATGTGTTCTTTTTCCTAAAATATCTTTACTAATTAAGTTTATTGATTAGAACCACCATCATTAGAGGGATTACTTTGGGAAAAAAATACATAAATATGAGAGACAAAGTGAATTAGGGTCTTATAATTAGGACCAAAATAAAAGTCAAACGAAGCCTTATATTAAGAATCGGAAGTAGTATCAGATTTCAGGAGACTGATACATCTTTGTGGTTCATCGGAACCCCAGATAACACTAATGAACGCAAGCATGCAAGTATTGAGCGCATGTATATGCACGTTTACGTGAATATATAAGTTGGTACTTTTATGAATTTATAATTTAAGTAATAAAAGCCTATTAAGTAACTAAACTAAACTACGTAAGCAAATTTCAAATTGCATAATGTGCCAAGGTAATAGAGCTGCGGATTTTCTTGCAGCAGCAGGTAGTAGAGAGGTGGAGCCCAATGGGTGGCTGTCTACAGCACCACCACTCTTACAAGAACTTCTTTTGGCTGACTCAACTGGAAGAAGATATGATGTTTCTGCTAATACCTTTGTAAACTCTTCTGCTCTTTATGTTTGGAGTAGAGAGGGTGTTGGTTAATTCCGGTCCTTAGTTCTTGCGTTGTTATTGTCTTGTTTCCCTTTGTTCTTGTTTGTCCTTGTGTTGGTCTTTTCTGGTGAGTTTTTTGTGTCTTAGGTTGTATGGTTAGGTTTTTTTGAGTGGTTTTCTTTGGCTTCGGCTATTGGTGTTTGTATCTGATTTTTTTGGTGATTAATAAAATGGACTTGTTTTTTGGCAAAAAAAAAAAATTCAAATTGCATAATGTGCTAATTGTGTACGGTAATTTTAATTTTAATAGTTTCCAAAGCATCATTAGAAAAAGGTTTGGCTTGCTATTGGAAAGAAATATTAATAAATAACTTTTTTATTTAACTAAGCTGATTTTTTTTTTAAAAGCTGAAGGATTGAGTTTGATTATTAGCCAGATTCGCATAAAAACTATCGAAAAAACTAATAAGTTAATAAGGAAGAATCCTGATTAAATCTGATTAAAATTTCAAAATTCAAATTAAGGTCTACACTTTTAATAAATCCCTAATTAAGCTAATAGGCCTTATTGGAGATTTTTAAATATTGTTAAAAAACTAAAATATCCTTTTATAATTTAAAATAATATTATTTTTAAAAAAATTAAACCATGAAAACTTGACATTATATAGTATTTATTTATACAAAATGTTTTACGTAAAAATTTTTGGAAATACTAGGAGCAAAAAATTGACAATGCATAATATAGTATTTAATACCAATTATGATATATTGATAAGAAATTTATGGGAACAGGGACTTTTTGTTGTTAATGGGAATAGGACCTTTTAATTATTTGATTCCAACACCATTAAATTAATAATTTTTCAAAGGAATTTTTTTCCTCTTATAGTTGAAAAATTAGAATCTTAATTTATTAGTATATTTCAGCATCAAATTTGTCATTTTCTTAAGTGCTCTGTCATATCTGCCATATAAATGTTCTCATCATATTATATCTTATAATTTTATTACTAAGATTCTTACTAATAATTAATATGAGTTTGTATTAGAAATCTAAATAAATTTTCTAACATTTCATGGGATGGATGGAGCAATATGAACTTCTTACTATAAATTTACTCAAAAAAAAAAACATACATTTTGCTCTTTTAACAATATATGTAGTAAGAACGCATGAAGCTGATGGTTCATCTAACAGTATCTCAAGAAAAAAAAATTTAGGTTATAAATTGATTGGACTAATTAACAATTTGCTCCTTTAAATGGGTATTTTAGTCTTTTAACAACATTCAAAAATCTCTAATAAGACCTGTTGGCCTAATTAAAAATTTGTTAAAAGTATAGGCCTTGATTTGAATTTTGATGTTTCAACCGGATTTAATTAGAATTCTCCCAGTTAATAAATATTAAGTTTTAAAGTTTTTCTATTCTGCACAATTTTTTCAACTGAGTGAACGTGAATAAACAACATGTTTTTGGGCTCATGACAGAGGATTCAAAAAAGTTGAGATCAAAACAGCCCAAAACAGAAATAAGCTACTCATCACAATCTCAGAGAACTGGACAAAAGAAATATCTTGGCAGGATAGAAGTCACTAATCAATGCCAACAAACAATAGCCCATGTAGTCTGTTTATAACTCTTAAGATTGTGAATTTAGATTATAGTGATCTATAAATATATTTATAGGCACTCTTAGTAGATCTCATAACCTAACTTATCCAAATTTTTTTGCACCAATAAAAAGAGAAAAATGAAAAAGGGAGAAATCATTAATTAATTCCATATATTTGTCATCACTTGAGGGCCTGGTTGTGCTCAGTGCACACATTAGTGGCATAAATTTTCAAGATTTTTTCTTTCACATCCCGGTATCTGTAGGTTTTTTTTTTTTTCCAAAACCAGCGGTATCTATGGGTTACCGATCACAACGACTGATTTGGATTAGGATTTTGAACCTTTGACTTTGCACAGCAGCACAGGTAAAAGGTGTGTTTGTATCCACTTTTTGACACCAAAACGCACTATCCAAATGGCAAATGGTGGTTTTTTTAAGGAAAAGTAGTGTTTGGTTTAACAATCATACAATCTAACTTTTAGATCTCAAATGGATTTATAGAAAAAGCTAATCAATCTTGCTTTTACCAGTGGACAGTAACGGTGTGATGGAAAGGTAATATTTTTCAATTTCTTCCTAATAATAAATTAATTTCTTTATTTTTAATTTTTTTTTTACAATTGTCACATTACATACATTTAATATTGAATATGTACTACCTCCAATCCTTGGTATAAGAGCTACTTAATTAATTTAGGAAGATTAAGAAAATTAGTTAAATTATTTATTTGTAATAAATAGATGTTGTTTTTATATTTAGGATCAAATTTAATGTCAAACTAGCTCTTATATTAATGACTGGAGGTAATATTACTTAATAAAATTCATATCATTTTTTATTATTTTACATCTAAACTAGTTTTTTTATTAGTCATCCGAACAAGTTTTAGTTTCTAAAACTGATTTTTTTACAAAATTCAATCTAAATATAAATTATATGATACTATCTGACTTTTATCCAATTGGATTGGGGAAAAAAAATTTACTTCTCTCATTGTTAATTCAAACACACCCAAAGTTGGCGATGGAACTCAGTCCTGTGCCACTGAGCCAACCCCTTTTCGATAAATGAATATTTAGGGCACTTGCAAGGTGAAAGCAATCACACCTAATTGGTACTATTAAATATCAGAGCATAGTTGTTTTTAACTATTATTATTTCTTTGGTTTTATTATAAAATATTTTTAATTGAATTATGTATATTAAAAGAAGCGGTAAAAATAAGCTGATGGTTTTATTTGTTCTCTCATTAAAACTATAATAACATTTGAAGGTTACTTTTAACTGAATTTTTATTAAAGCTAAGGGTCAAAAATACCCATAAAATATACCAAAAATTCACCTAACAGCATGAACTTTTTTTGGGTTCAAATTTACCGATCAAAGCTTAGAAAGAGGTCAATAATGCCAGCGCCGTTAACGTCCATTTTTTAAGCGATGGGACCCATGATTTTTTAAATAAAAATACCAAAATACCCCTAATGGAAAAAAGTTAAGGGTCAAAAATACCCAAAAACTTTGGGTATTTTTTACCCTTAACTTTTTTTGTTTTAATTGGGGGTATTTTAGTAATTTCATTAAAAAAATCATGGGTCCCATTGTTAAAAAAAGGATGTTAACGACACTGGTATTATTGATCTCTTTTTAAATTTTGATGGGTAGATTTGAATCCAAAGAATCTTCATAGTGTTGGGTGAACTTTTGGTATATTTTCATAGCATTTTTTACTCTTAACCTTTTTATTAAATATGACATATTTCCTAATGGTGTTTTATTATGGGAGAATTACTTTGAGATCCCAATAAAAAATTTAATTAATGCAAAATTCCAATGACAAGGAAAAATATAAATATTGTTATTTCTTACATTGAAACTTGTCATTATATATAACTTAGTTGTTATTAGACTTTTGAGTGATGAAATCAATTAAATCCTTTCCTCAAAACTTTACAGTAATTCACCCTTTTATAATTAGAATTGGATGAGCAATATCATGGCTGATTATTTGAGGGTAAAGTTAAACAAAGATACACAAAATGAAAAAGGTGGGGCTATTTACTTTAGGACTTCTTTGACCCCCCTTGTCTCCCATCTAAAGCTGGTAATATAGGCTGAGCCTGCGGGCTCAACCTGCCAACCAGTCAAAGAGTGGCGGGTTGAGTTGATGAAAATCAGGCATGTTTTAAAACAGATCTTTTGAGCCCATAACCGCCAAGACCGAACCCGCGACGGGCTAACTCGCAGGGTTGGTGAGCCGGCCTGTTTTATTTTTTAAATTTGTTCCCTCCTCAAATATAATTATGTTTACTTCTTTGATCCTTTATCTCATTCTTATTATTTAAAATTACCATAATGTAATATATCTTTTACTTTGTGTTATGGATTTTACTTGTGTCAAAGTTAGTTGAGCAAAAAAAGGTGATTCTATTTATGAAGCTTAACCAAATAATTTCACATCTTCATATCATTTTTCGAACTATATTAACATTGAATGATAGCTCATGGTTGAACACTTGATAGTGATGTGTAACATTGTGTTTGTATTATTATTAATTTAGATTTGTTATGTTTTAATTTGGGATATATGTTTAATCACTTAGGATGATGTATCATGTATGCTTATTATAGTAGTGTTTTGAAATGTTTGGAACTTTGGATTTTATATTTTATTTATAATAATTTTTATATACATATTTTATTTTAGGTGTTTAAAAATTAAAATAAATTAAATTTTATTAAAATAAAATAAAAGACACAAAAATTTTTTTTAAAAAAAGGCGTGTTGGCGGGTGGCGGACTGAGTTGGAAAAATATCAACCCACCAGAAGTTAGTCTTTTTAAGACCGGCCAGTCAATCCTTAAACCCGCCACGAGCCAACCCATAACTGGCGGGTTAGCCTGTATTATCAGCTCTACTCCCATCTTCTTACTCTCCAGCAAAAGAGTAGACTTCCGTGGGGCCTTTGGCTGGATTTTTCATTTTTGTATAACTAATTCCTCTGAACAAGAAGCAAAGTGCCTTACTGCCCACACTTGGGAATGACCATATGCTTAATATGAGGTCCAAGTGTTAATTGAAGACACTTTTGGTGAAAAAGTGTTCTTCTTTAATGCAGAAGAGGGGTGAACGCTAGACAGTGATATCTAATTAAATAAAATGGGGTTTCCCTCCGCCAGGTTTGTGCTATAATTTTTAATCATTCAAATGAAATCATTTTAAGGCATTAAATTATTTTGCATTTTTAAAAACCATCAAATACAATCTAACAAACTATAAAATGCAGTGGTCTCTCCGTAAGTGGAGTTAAGCTTCTGTGATTTCCCATAATTTCCTCTCGAAAATACTGTCCGCACTAAATGACTGAAAACACAATGATCCAATATTTTTTCTCCTATGTTGAACTTTCAATAAACTACATGGATTATCAAGAAGATCATACATTCTCTGGAAATGTAGTTGAACACAAATGAAGGCACTGCCATGCTTGGCCAGTGACCGATAAAGACTTGACACTGTTGATTTATTCCCTTTTTGACTTTGAGAGAGCTTTCTTCCTCTGCGCAAGCATGTATCTATACATGTGAGGACTACCTGCATAAAATTAAGCCATCCAGTTAATTGCAGCTTCCAAGGGGAAACTACAAATCAATCAAGTAATTTTTATTAGTAAGAAAGATGCTGGGTTCGTGCCTGGAACGTAGATTCCTAATGCAAGAATTGCAGCATAGAAGTAATCAAAAGAGAAGTTCCATTTGTTGGGCATCCTCACGCAAAACTTGTCAGAATTCTGCAAATTACTCCTCATCATTAACTTGAAATCCAGAGTCATAAGAAACCGCCATATCACAGAGTCACAGCAATTATTAACGATATAAGAAAAAGAAAAAGATCAACCAACATAAGACAAGATAAAACCAGCGGACTTAGATCTCCCGCTAAAAATTTGTGAACTAGGCTTTCAAAATTCTTTACCTTAATAAATGGCAAGGCAACGTATATTAGACCAACTTCACTGCTGATGCCGGTGGGGTACAGCAATAGGAAGGTGCTGTATCTGCAAGACAAAGATTGATGATATAGTCACTACAATGCAACACAGTACTTGCTCATAACTACATACTTTTCAGCAGGCTGTACCTGAGCCACAGTAGCCATGAAGGGGCAAAACCAAATGCTTCTTTCATGCCAAAGAAAGAATAACGGATTATCTGTAGTTATGACAGCCAAAAAGTAATCAATATTTGTATTCATTAGGCATTCCCATAGCAAACAAAGGTATCTGGCTACTATGAGAGCGGAAATCACAGGAGAAGATGGGTCAACAAGCACTTTTTGTTTTCATGATGCACACAAGGTTGCTGCAATCAAATCCATGGAATGGCGGCTTATGAAAGGCAGGGATACTAGAGAAAAATTTAACGATCACTGTGAATTTAACTTTCAAGGTCATGATTAAGAGAGAGTAGCAAAATGAGAAGATATCTGAATTGATGGAACTGATAATTGATCTCCTATATCATATTTGCTCTGTTCTCTTAACCTTTTTTGGCCATCATAATCGCTTGTTAAATATAGCGCGAATTTGTCAAAACTATAGAACAAGAATTTCCATTAGTCTCTTGGACCTATAGCTATTGTTCCATGCTTTCTTCAAGATGGGAAAAGGATGTGACAGTTTTGATTTGTCAGCTGAATTCAGAAAAAGCTCACACAAACACCCATCCTATGCTTTCCTTGGACTTTAACAGCCAGCTCCTATAAGGAGAATTAATCCCATACACAGGTCATTTTCTTAACCCTAAGTAATGGAGTATTTTCAAGCATAAACCATAGCTCCTATATCACTATCTTATAGCTGTCAGTAGATGCATTGTGTTCCAAGGTAAAATCAAACAGGCGAACCACAAAAACACAGTTTATATGTGTATAAACCATGATAACATACCTCTGTCAGAGACCAGCTGATTAACAGGGAGGTAACCAGAACATGATTTCGAGTCTGTATAATTATCATCATGCAGTTAGTCTTGCGTTAAACAACAGTATATGGTTGAAAGTTGAATATGACTGAATTTGCACTAACCTCAGGGAAACTATATAAGATCCCCCAAGCAAGGTACAATCTTGAACCTATCTGTGGCAAGGTTGCTGAAACGGGAGAACGCACCAGCCCTTCATCATTGAAAAAATAGAAATCCATTAACAAACTAACAGTTTAAGCAAATCCCTATCCTCATTAAGCCAAGGTAATGAGAATTAAGAACATGCTACTCACCTATTAAACCATGAAGAATCTATCACGCCAAGTAATTCAGCACCGCACCCAAAGGAGAAAAGAACAAGAAATAAAGGTTAAGTTCATTGCCGTAAAGAAATACAATATTTTCCACAGTTAAGTTTCTTCCAGGCAAAATACCTCTAGCACAGCAGCAGTTTGAGCAAAAAGCAAAGGCTTTTCAGCCGTATCGTAAACATGCTCATGACCTGATTCCTTCAATGTCTTCAGAACTAGATACAGAACTTGAACCCTGCGCAACTTGAGAGAATTAAGTGCTTTCTAAATATCTGAGACCAAGAGGAAACTGATAGGCCGGAAAGAGAAAATAGAGATCTATACCATCCAAAGAAAACGGTCCAGTTATAAACGGAGAGATAGAGGCGCCTGAGAACAGAGAAAAAGCCCGCCATTGGCGAGAGTGATAATTGATCACAGAACTAGAAGTACAAGTACTCAGAGATCTGTATGCGGATGGGAGATTGATGGAAGCGCAATTCTACAAAGAAACTTCAAATATTAAATACTAGATGGGTTTCATAAATGTGGGAGAAGACGCTGGTTTCTTGTTTACTGAATTAAAACGGTCCCGTTGGGTAGCTCAACGCCTCAACTACTTGACTTGACAGCCCCCTCAGGCTTCGACGGTATCGAGGGGCCGCCGGAGCAAAGAAAACAGGCTTTTGCCCCCCTCTTTTTTGGACCAACGGAAGAAAACGGGTTTTTAATGATTATAAATAAATGCTTGCTCCGGAGCCCCTATGATTCAGTATACTCCGTTGACAAAAGATTAAAAAAAAAAAAAAGTGCACTCCCCGTCTTCCCCCGTCCAGTGGCTGCTATAAACGAATTAAAGAATGAAAATTAACTTATTAAATACTCTTCCGGTTCTTATTATAAGACTCCATTTGACTTTTTATTTGGTCCTAATTATAAGACCCCAATCTATTTTGTCTCTTATATTTATGCATTTTTCCCAAGATAATCCTTCTAATAATGATAGTTTTAGCCAATATACTTAATTAGCAAGGATATTTTAGGAATGACAACACTTATTTATTATAAATAACCAACTTAACTTACTTCCTTAATCCCCTCAAATAAGTCAATTGGGTCTTATAATTAGGACCGGAGGAGTATTATTTTTTCAGTTCTAAATATAAAACTCATTTTATAATATAAATTATATTCAAAATGGATTTTATATTTAAAATTGAATAGAGTATACTAATCTTTTTTAATTTTATTTTACCCCTATTAATAAAGTTTTAAATAATATATTGAAAGTCGCCTTTAAACATTTATTACAAAAAGCAAAGCTGAGAAATAAGTATTAATGACTCTTATACGTCACTCTGTGCTTGTAAGCAAGTCACTGGTATCTTATTCTCACATTTTTTTTTACTATATTTAATAAATATTAAAATTTAAAAAAAAGATTATTAATTACATTATAAGTGATTTATATTTTAGAATAATTTTTTTTCACAAGTGATTTTCATATAATAACATAGTGGTAGACTGTAGAATTGTTTTAGAAGACGACCTTGAACAAGAACCAAAAGGAATAAAAACGAGTAGGGTTGTTTGATTTGATCATAAATATAAAATATTAATTTACTTAACATGTCTCTTATACTTATTATTTTCTCGAACTAATTTATCTAACTTATTTTTAATGCTATATAAAGATATTTTAAGGAGGTCATGTTAAATTTATTATAATTAACTAATTTATCTGATTTTTTTTAATTTATTTAAATTAGTTAATGTAAGGGTTTTTATTTTGAGGAGGGAGCTAACTTTTTTCCCCCCAATATAAGGAAAAAATATTAGGTGGTTTAGGTTAGGTTAGGGATTCTCTCTTGAATGCCTATTAATTAATATTACCCAAATAGAACAGTTTTTTCTCAGGAAGAACAGTGTCTAGGTAAACTATGTGGCCCAGAAAAATGAAGGTAGCGTCACGTACATATTCAGATCATGTGGCCTACATGAGAGATTGTGGGTGGCCAGATTTTCCACATCAATGGACTTAAAATATATTTTCGGTCCAATGTTATCATTTGCATATTTTTTTAAAAATAATTTTTTAGTCTTTACATCTTATCATTCATGTACAAGTTAACACTAATTTTAATAATTTGTTGACTTTATCAATATTTTTTTTTGGTAAAATGACTTGGTCAACAATTATTCACTAGGTAACATAGATTAAGTATCTAAAACAATAACTGTAAGATCAGAAAATTAGTATGCAAGTCACTATAATTTTATCTGATTTCTAATCAGTTTCTTTTATTTTTTTCATTCAAATTCTCATAGTGACACTTGATTTTTAATAAGGTTCTTATACTTCCTTTTTCTTTTTATCATGTTTTTTAAATGAATTTATAATTTACAAGTTTTCATTTTACTTTTTCTAATTTGATTTCAAATTGAATATCTCTTATTATAATGAATTTCAGTATTTAATATATTTTAATATTTTATTATTAATTTTGATAAATAATTAACATTGAAATAGTGAAAAATTATTTTTTATTATGTTTTATTAAAAAAAATTAAAATCAAATTAAGAACTAATATAAAAAATAATGAGACTTTAACTAGAATAAATTCGGACTGGAGTATAAAAATAATGAAATAGTGAGTATTATTAATTATAACTTATATTAATTATAAGTATAAATAAATCAAAATAGAAAACAAATAAAATTAAAATTAAAATTAATTTCTTATATAAAAAATTAAAATGAATTTGATTTAATTTGGAATAATTAACATTAGTCATGAATAATAAAAACGAGAGTAGATAAGAATCCAATAGTGGGGGTACTACAGAGCCTGAGTAAAAGTAACAATAAGGATTTGATTAAAAAAATTATAAGAATCTGATTAAAAATTTCTTAAAACTATAAGAACCTAAAAAATACAAAAAAAAAAAACATATGATCTAGTAAGAAATCAAGTGAAATTACGGGGGATTTGCATATTAGTTTTTCCTTGTCAGATTTAACATTAAATTTGGATTAACAACGTGACAGGAGGAAAATTTGAATGATTTAAAAAATATATATTTAAAAACAAAATGATTGAATTAATAATTCAAAGGACTAAAAATATGCTACCTCCGGTCCTAATTATAAGAGCTAGTTGACTAATATAAGGAGATTAAGGAAATAAGTTAAGTTAGTTATTTACAATAAATAGGTATTGCCTTTCTTAAAATATCGTTGCTAATCAAGTGTATTGGCTACAACTATCATTATGAGAAGAATTACCTTAAAAAAATATATAAATATGAGAGTGAAAGCGAATTGAGATCTTATATTTAAAATTAAAATAAAAATCAAATAAGGTCTTATAGTAAGAACTAAAGATAATATTAACAAAAAACACTTAATATAGTTTTGACTTTTGAATTGTAAGTGGACTATGATCCATGCACTCGAAGTCAACTGGCCTAGACAATGGAAACCCATGGAGCCCATATTTGTCCCTTGTCTTTAGCTCCATTATATTCTTTGATTTAGGCCCAAAAATATGTTGTCAATAGCTGGATTTTTTTTTTTTTAAGCAAAAGAGGGCAATGCCCAACGAACAACTAAAGAGAAAGGGGATTAGCTCCCTTACACTCCAAATCCCCAATAGGAGAAGTACTCACATTCAGTATCTAATAATGTTTTGAATATGATTATTTCTAATAGGAGGATATCTATACTTTAGTAAAAAAAAAAAAAAGCTCCCATACACCCTCTTTCTGCATAAAGACCCTTGGATCCGCAGGGCATCAACTCCGCCATTAGTCTCTTTACCGATATTCGCCTTGAGATTATAAGAAATCCAAACCTGCGAAGAAATGTTGAAAAATCTGGACATATCTAGTCACAGTCCCTCATAATATGCAAAGTCTCCTCAAGACTGAAAGTCCCAAGCTCCATTTAAAGTCCAATTGGACGCCCACACTAGAATTTTCTTCATCAGGTAACTGCCGCAAACAGTAGCCCCTAATATTTCTGGATGGAAATAGCCAATTATCATTGAAGAAGTTAACGGCTCTACCATCTCTCATAGTACCAAAAAATAAGTAAATAAAAGTTGGCATTGACCAAATGACTCTCTTTTTTATCCTATATAAATATAATCATTTTAGAGAAATGATTTTGCACCACGTTAAATAAATATGTATGTGAAATTTTTGCATCATAAAGCGTGAAAGAACCTTTTTAAATTGATCCAAACACCTACTAAAATACTTTTTTAGTCTTGTTTATAGAGTAAAAAGAAAATTTTACGTATGAATATATAATTTTACTTTTTATTTGTTATTTTGTTGATTTTATTCTCAAAGAGTATAATATATATATTAAATAGAAATAAAGTTAAAATGATATTAAATTTTAAAAGAGAGTTAATGAAATGGGTTAAGGTTTAAATTTTTCCTGAAAATTTTTCCTCAGAAAACACTAGATACTTGAAAGTTTTTTTGAAAGCAAATTCTTTCTGGAAGTTTAAAATCTCAACAATATTGCCTCATAATCTTCAAAAAACTTACACTTACCATTAAAACAGTGATATTGACTATTAACATTTTTAACAGTAGGAAGTAATATTGTTACAAATTTAAACTTTAGAGACAAATTAGTTGCAAAAAAAAGCTTCTGAATACCCAACACTCCTAAGTGAAAAACTTTCAGAATAAATTTACACTTTAATCCTAATAAAATTTAAGGTTTTTTTAATCTGTGTAAAATATATTGAAAGCCACTTATAAATAACATCAGAAGAGTATTAATAATAAAAGTTGGCAACAAATAAATATAAATATAAGGTGATATACTTTCATTCTTTTAGTAACTATAATTGTTTAATCTTCCACGTTTTCTAAACGCTAAAGCACGGGTTACAAATCAGCCCCAATTTTTTTTGGGCCCTACGTACATTTACAAACATAAGTACGTAAGTACATAATACAATACATTTCGAGAGATAAAAAAAATAAATAAATAAGCGTAATGATGATATATGATCATATTTTCCTTTTCACTGTCACTGTCATTTGGAACGCATACATGCAACAATATAATACAAGAAATCCAGCTTGATTTCTCACGCTCCTAATTAAATATAAAGCCGGTGCAAGTATGTTAAGCGCTCACCTTTTTTTTTTTAAAAAAAAAAACATTTGTATCCCTAATTTTATAACCACTATGTTCTTCGCTGTTGATTTAGCAGCAAATCTAGACTGTATAAATTTAATTTAAGCGCTCCAAATTCATCATATACTACTAGTTTGCATTTCAATTATTTATTTTCTAAAATTGAAAGGACTAGCCTTTCGTAATATAATTAGTTAAATTTAAACTGCATACATATTTATTGTGTTTCGAATAAGATTGTCATGGTTTTTGGTCTCTCGCATTTTTTTATTTAAAATATTAATTCTTATAATTTAATAAAAATTTATCTTTTGAGAGATCAAAACTCATGATTTAAAATTTAAATGACTAAAACTAAAATAAAGATAATTTTAGGGGAGCAAACATTATGAAAAAAAATCCTTTAGGCTTTTTAGATTGATGGGCTCAAAAGAAAAGGAAGGAAGCATACAATGAAATGGAAATGATTGGGGTGGTTGGAAGTTGAAGTTAAAGGAAGAACAATCAAATGGCGCTATTTGCTGCA